CTGTAAGCCAGCCTCCAGCCCTGACCATCTGGTCACCTTGGGTGTAGGCTTCCTCAACATCATAGAACTGCTCTTCGTCCTCCTCCTCAATGTCATGGAACTGCGTCTCTGCTGTCATGACCATGCCGGCCAGGAGTGGGTCACCGTCCTCCAACACTCTCTTCTTGGATGGAGATGAGGATTTGCTCTGGCAATTTGCTGCCAGGTGTCCAACCTTCCCGCAGCGCAGGCATGTTCGGGTTTCCATGGCCGGAAGTGCATCTCTGGCCCGTGCTTTGCCTGTCGGACCTTTTCCACTTGTCGAAGACGATGATGAGCCGCCCTTGCCGCTCTTACCTTTCTTGTTCTTTCCTTTCTTGCCTCCTCCATGGTGTTGTGAAGGCGATGATGGCGAGGTCGATGGACTGAACGGCATCTGTCGTTGATCAACCATCGCAACAACTGGATAAAAACCTCTGGCCTGTCTCAGGCTCTGCATCCTCTGCTTTGCATCTGTGTATGCTGCATAGATCTCATCAAACTCCGCTGTATCAAACAGCGATTCATCTGCCCCAGTTGCTTCGAAGAAGGCTGAGTCATCATCCTCCTGCCAGTATGTGTCGTAGGGACTCTCATCGTCAGGCCAGGCCTCAGCGCCATCATCTTCAAAGTATGCCTGATCTTGCTCCCAGTCACCCTCTGTCTCGGCTTCCTCAGTAACTGCATGGATGAGTCGGGGGTTCTTCCATCATCCTTGCTGTTGCATCGGAATCCGGCGTTGAGCGACGTGAGCATGTCGATGATCCTGCCCAAACAACAAATACAATGCTGGCTCAACTGCTGTCAATGTCAATGTGGTGCCAATGTGGGTCTGAACCATGGTCTGCTGTTCTTTTGTCAATGCAGCCCGTCTCAACATCAGCCACCCAGTCACTTCTGGTGGTAGTGTAATCTTGAACTTCATCAACTCTCGAAGCGACTGATTGAACTCTGTGCAGTATTCTAGGAGGGATTGACCTTGTCGCCTGACCAACTTGAAAAAGAACTTTTCAAAGGCCTCCGGCATCTCGACCTTCTCGTCGTACTGCCACTGGGCGTCAAGCCTTTTCAGAATGGACAGAATGCCGTCTTCTCTCGCCAGTTCACTGATCTCCAGATCTTCGCATTGACGCCACGAAGCGCCTTCCAGAACTGAAAGCACGTTCAATGCTGTCTCCTTGTCTCTGCCCTGCAACTTCTGGCGATGTGCATACAACTGGATGCGTTTGCGCCACTCCTTGTATCCAACAGTCGTGTTGTCAAATCTAGGTACGAAAAACTTGTCAGATGCGGAGTCCGGTTGCCTCCCAGTGGAGGTCTCGCTCATGGCTCTCGCGCGGCCGCCCCGGGAGCCGACGTATTGTCGGCTCCGCTACCAATGTGAAAACCTAGGTCAACAAACCAAGGTAGGGTTCCCAATGCGCTCGAGGTCAGTGGGAAAACACGGAAGTGAAAGTGCGGACATGTAAAGCCCCTTTTCGCGTAGTCGATTGGAAGTGACTCAAGGGCCCTAGGTTCGAACCCGAGTTGCGGACATCACACGGCGATCGTGACCAATTTGTGGGCCACAAATTCACATTATAGGTTTTGGATATGTTTCTTTTCCGGAACCTCCGACCTTCACCGACCTTCACCGAGCGCGCCCTCGCAGGTCTTGAAGACCATTGAGAAGATCAAGCGGCTCGGAGACGTAATGCAGCGAGTGACATGGTTGTATGTGGCCGTGTTGCCTGATGTTTTGGGTTGTTTTTTTGCCTTAATCTTTTGGGGTGCTGAGATCATAAAAGTGAAGGTTTGGGGTGATCCTGTCGCTGTCCCGATTGATTGAATATGATTGCATGCCCCACCATTACCAGAAAAGACTTCGCCGGGCAAGTCATGACAAGACAATGCCTCTCAGCCATGCGTTATAGAATGTCACCAGTAATGTCTTGTGTGATGCCTCCATCACCTGTACACAAAGTTTCTGGTTGGCTTGGTGTGAATCTTCGATCGCACCTGGCAAAGGGGCCGTGCGAACACGGTGCAGGAATGACCTGCTTCTTGGATCACTATATGTCACTATCCAAATATTTCAATTGCTCTAAGACACAGATTTGGAAGTGAAAAATCATATAATTGATAATTAGGACTATAGGAGAATCATTTTCCCAATGGTCCACTTCCATGTTAGCGAGTCAGAGCGCAACACAAAAACGAAACACATGAGAACACGAACGCAGTCGATGTTTCTCTAAGAATGGCAGTGCAAGGCTTCTTCATCCACTGATCTCCACTGTTGGGCGGTCCACGGTCTACGCTTCACTTCACTGATCCCCTGTGTGATGATCCAAGGCCCCGAAAGCCCCGTTGTAAATTCATTCCGCTCTTTTGAGGCTGGCCCCGACAACCAAAGAACGGTTGGCCCAATAAAACCGGGTTTGATTGGAGAGAACGACCCCCAAAAACATGTCCCAGACACTCCATGGGACTGCCATATATGCCCATCAATTGGGGTGGTTTTGGAGGTCAATGTAGGCATATATGGCATACATGGAGTGTCTGGGTGTTGGCAAACACCGTTTTAGTATGTTTTAATTTGAGACACCGGCTGCCCTCAGTTGGCTCCACCATTCTTCCGTTGACATGTCGATCAAGCCGCCGATTTCGACTGACTGCAACGCCCTATGAGCGGCCGACCGAGTCCGAGTTTTTCTCCTTCTCCCGGCTGAAAACGGTGAGGAAGAAGAAGCAGACGGCCAAGCAGGCCAAGGTGGACCGGAAACTCTTAAGGCGAGTGGTGAAGACATGCGAAGACTGGTGGACTGACTAGTGGGCAGCAGGACTGCAGGACTTTTTGGTCCAATTTTGGAGGACGCGGGGGAGCAACCCCACCCCCTTTTTCAACCAATGGTGCAAGCGCAAAGATATGTTCATGATTGTTCATGTGAGAGGATGATGGAGTGGTGACAAGAGATGCATTTTCTCGAGAAGCGGCCTGACCTTGTTTTGAGACCGATCGCGGGCCTCAAAGATGCTCTTGACGCATGTTTGCACTGTTGAGATCAGGTTTCCGGAGAGGTTCCTTGGTTTCAAGGGTGTTTTCTTAGGGCGGGTGCTCAAAGGCACATTGGAGGTGGCTCGCCCAAAAGCTTATAAAAGCTTGCTCCGTGCAGGGCTGCAAAGGAGCAAGGGGCCATCCAGTCCATCAAGGTAGTTCGACAACTCTTGGTGGCTTGGCTTGTGCGAGAGAAAAGCGGGAAACGGATTTTGTGTTTTTTCTTCGGATGCGAGCGTGGACAACGCGCCGTAGAGGATTTTGTGTCCAACAGAATGACGAACTCTGTTAGGTTGGAGGCCATCGCTACTAGGTTGGAGGCCATCGAGATTAGGTTGGAGGCCATCGCTATTAGGTTGGAGGCCATTGCTAATGGTAACGCAAAAAGAATAATAGCGGTCCTTATAAGATCTTGTAGGAGCCGCGCGGATGTCACTCCGTGGTCGTGTAGCCATGTTTTCTTCAATCACCAACGGTCCCCTTTCCTATTCCTCGATATTCCTCGTGATAGGGCAATGACACAAGGACAAGTGACAAGTGCAAACCAGCAATGGACAGGCAACATGGAATTGGGGATTGTTTGTCCTTTGCAACCGTGAATCTTTCTGAGGCTCGTCGTGCATGGCCGTGTCTCTAAATAGGGAGCTCCTAACCCAAAGGGAAGTGTATCTATAGCTACACTGAAATGCAGCTGTACTGATACAGTGCCTAGCAACCAGTCAAACTGGTGGGTATGGGCATGGGTCAGTTCCTGGAGTCTGGTCCCTGTTTAGCCGTGCTTCTTGGTGGGAACGGCCCAGTGTTCCCAGGAGGGCAAGAGGAAGGCCTCCTTCAAGCCCGATGGCCGCGAGCTGGCGCGCGACCGGCGCCTGCGGCGGGAACGGGAGAAGCGAGAGCGTGCCTGGGCCAAGGATGACGGCAGGACAAGAGGGGAAGGATGAGCAGTGAGAACACAGTGTTTTAACTGAAATGGCTGCAACTATCAGGGTCAAGGAGTTTCAACCCAGCTGCTGAGATTGATAGAATTTGTTGTAGATTGGTTTCTTCATTGCAATCCTTGGAAAGAACTGCCTGAGCCAAAAGAGCTTTCTTTTGGCCCTGCCTCCGAGGCAAGCAAAATTTGAAGTCATATGGCGAAGAGGAGGAAGAGGAGCTGGAAATCCAAGCGGGGCGACCGGGAGCCCTACGACCCATGCAGATTCTTCCCCAAAAACAAGATGAAACAAACCCTTTGGACATCGATGATGATGAATCCCGTTGCGAAGAGGGTCCTGACGATCACTTTAGTGAGTGTTTTTACTGGACTTTCTGTTTGCCGAGCTAATCCTATCTCCACTTCTCTGAGTCAGGGTCGTCGCTTGTCCGACTCACATGCGACCGGTACGCCACGGATCCCGCGATGGACCGACCTTCCGAAGGGGGGGGGACCCTCGGTGACGATGACTGCGGTTCCAGGAGCCCGAGGAAGAAGATGAAGCGTTGGAATGACGCCGCCTCGCCAAGCGGGCCTTGCGCGTCATGGAAAAAAGGGAGATGTGAGACATTGGTGTGGTTTTTCAGGGCGATCTGAAGGTCCTGGAATGAGTCAGGGTGAGCCTGGAGAAGATAGCCTGAGGATGTGTCCCATATTCTCTCCACCATTGTATTGAAACTGATACTATTGCCGCATGATGCAGCATACAATTGGTAGTTTTCTTTATGTTTTTTTTTGGGGGGGGATGGATGCAGTAATACATGATGAGAGCTTCAAAAGGATCAGATTACCACCCTAGCAAGTCAACCTCCAGATGTTTTCAACCCGGTGAAAACATGTAGTCGTGGGGAAGGCTGTGGTTGTGTGACGGACTGATAGACAGACATGAGCCCAGAACATGAGCCCCAAAGGCATCATTTCACTCCTCCGGCTAGCCACCCCTCGTGGTTTGGAGAGTCCTCTGACAGTCAGGCAGTCCTGTTGCGTGCTGGCTTGGTGCATTCCATGACGCACTCAGCCTTTCTGAAGCTGCTGGAGGGCGTGCATGGGGTCCAGGGTGCCGAGGTGGAATGAGGAGAGATCCGCGACGTCTCGCAATCGCTCCGCTGGGGTGGGCAGTGCTTGTGCATTCACTTTTTCAACTCACTTGGGTTGATGACTTTTTGATGTACACCCTGGAAGACGATCCCATGGACCCTGAAAACCACTGGTCTTCCAGGGGGCCAGGATGTCAGGGTCTATGTTAGTTTTCGGGAGTGTACATCAATTACCAGTCAACCACCCTCGTTCACAGGGCTCGACGCCCCAAGGTCTCGTCTCGTGGATTCGATCGATCGAAGGCGCCACAGGGGCCGCCCGTGCGGAACCGCCCGGTGCGGCCTCCATAGTTTCTCCTAGGGTCTTATGACTCAGTTCGTGAACGTTCTATCAGCATCAAACAATACTGGAGCTCAAGCAGAAGCATTTGCCCCAACAACCTTGCAACATGAACAAACACATAATTACTGTATTAAGATGCATTATACTCAATTGAGCAACTCCCAAGACTATGATGGGTGTTCCAGGCCACCTTGCCATCCGACCTGGCGCTCCTTCAGCGGCCAGCGCTCCTTCAGCTGCAGAAGCCGGCGCTGGCTTCGGCGCTTCTGAGGTCGATGAACCGGTTGAGGGCCGTAGAAAGCAGAGCGCCACCCTGTTCCAATCCATCATCTACGGTTTACCCCTATTATATATATTCACTTGCTGGTTGATCGTTCTGCTAGAACCACATTAGAAAGAGCAAATGCACCTCGCTGTTTCAGCATGAAAAAAGAGCCGGTATGAGCAGGTTGGGGGTTGGGGGTCAGGATGGATGAAAAGCTCAAATCCCAAGTGGTGGTTTATAGAGGGACTCGCCAAAAACTGTTTGGGGGATTTGAGCCGTTCGATTTTTTTTGCATGGATTTCATCCCTGAGCCAGATCCCCATGAGTCAGATGCACTGGGCACAGTGTGTGGAGCTGAAGTCAGCATCTTTCAGCAGCCAACATGGAGCCCGGAACACCAAGATGGAAGAAATCGTGGACCCTTGGATCCTTGGATCGTCTTTCCGACCAGGTGTGACCCGGTAGCCTTTGGGAAGGGATCGGCGGCCAGGCGCTGTGGCGAGGTCTGGCAGGTTCTCCCCCTCCCTTGCGGCGGTTCTTTGACCCGCATCGATGTGGGACGGATCAGCCTCGCTCCTACATCCGGTCGATCTACCAGCACCGACTGAAACCAGGTCAATTGAAACCTGTTAGGGCCTAACAAAGCTCCAAAGGAGACCTGGAAGGTGCTGGTGTACAAATCTGGGGTTGCATCTGGGTGGTTTGGAACCATGGTTCGTCTTGGGATGGCATTTCTTCATCCAATCTGTAGAGTGGCCCACTACAAAGCCCATTGGCTGTTGAATGTGACCAACATTAACATACCAGGAGTCACACAGGGATGCCTGTTGGAGGACAGGGGTGCCCACTACCCACTCACTGAATGGGACTAAAAGCAACCCCTTTGTGACTCCTGGTGGGATGCCTTTCATTCATTCCTTCGACTCTCAGGCTTTGTGATGGCTGTGCCACACCTTCTTCTGACGCCCCGTCCTTCGGCTTCAGCTGCTCCGTCCATGCTCGCACCAGTTCTCAGGACCTGCAAGAACCCAGTGACCCTGCATCTGCAGTCGGTGCTAGGGCGACCCTAGCACGCACGGCGCGACGTCAGTCCACCCATGGTAGGGAGCGGTCGGCGAACTGTTAAAACTCCACGCGCCGGGCGCATGATGCGAGCCATGCGCATGGAGAAGCGTCGGCGGGGCCGGGTCGTAGGGGAGCCTCAGGACAGGCGAAGAGAGCAAGGCATCCTCCTCCTCGGAGTATCCAACTCTGAAATTCACCACCCGGGACGTGTCATTTCACTCGCACACACGTGCATTTCAGTCCAGCAGATTCCAGCGAAAGAACGCTGACCAGGAACAGCGACAGAGGAGCGACATGAAGGATCCATTAAAGATCATAAAAGTATTTTTCGGGTGGCGACGAGGTCCCCTTCCCTGAGGTCCCCTTTTTTGAGGAAAAAGAGCCACCATTTTAATCAATTGTTATGCTTGTTGCTTTTTGATGTTTTTTGAATGTTTGTTCAATGCTTTTGCTGTGGGTTGTTTATATGTGTTTGTTTTCCAAGTGGCGGTGTTTATTGCTGATATTTTTGCAAAGCGACAAGTAGGAGACTGAGCCGGAGTCTTGTTAGTTCCAACCCTTCACCATTTGTCAAATTTGTCATAGCAAGTGTGGCAAGTACTCCGGAGTTTGCCACTTGCGTTAGCCTCCTGCTTGCCACAATTCATTCAACGACTTCTTGAGCGGCCGGGCCACCTCAAAAAGGCCGGGCCGCCCGGGACATGATACATTATAGATAGCTTCATATAACACATGACTTGTACAGCCTCTTGTGCCCCAACATGATGTTTCACAAGTTTCAGTGCCGTGCCATTTCCTTTGGTGTCCCGAGGTGCTGCCACTTTGTCTCGCCCTCATCGCCAGGGAGACTCGGGAAGACGACGGTCGGGAGACAGGGGGCTGTGACCTCCGGCAACAAAGCTCCGGGATGGTTGGTGGAAGATGATCCGATAGTCTGATTCAGACCCCAAGTGCTAAACCATGCTAAACCAGACAGAACGTTAAGAGTTTTGGAGTGGCACTGAAGCTTGGGCACGTGGATTGGTAAGTGAGCTGGTAAGGGCGTGTTGCTTCAGCCTTGCAACTTGGAGAATTGGACTTGCGATGACTTGCGTCTATAGTGCCGTAGGCCAGGACGGTGATCTTCACCCAAAAGCTGACTTCCGCCTGCAGCTGTCACCATTCGCCCAACCATCTAGAAGTTGCTTCACTTCTAGGTGAGCACTACTGCATCTGAATTCACCATGATAATTTCTCCTTATGGATGGTTCGTGAGTCGTGGTCGGGCCCATCTGTCTCCAGGAGTTAATCTGGGAGGCCATAAGCTAGGCATGATTCATATAGATTCGACTCATTCGACCCCCTTGTAAACCGGGGGGGCGGCCGCCGCTTCCGTGACCGGAAGCCCCCCGACCGTCGCGGGTGCGACCGATGGCCCGGGGGTCGGAACGAAGACCGAGGTCTTGGCTGGTCATTGGGACTTCGTGGGCCCGAACAGGCGTGGCGACTGGGGTGAAGTGAGTGAGTGAGTGAGATGCCATGAGATGCCTTCTTACATCTTCGTACAGTTGTAGGGAAGAATTAGGCCGGGCAATGAGATGAACATGCAGAGTGTTGATGCGTACAAGGTCAGCTGAGCCGCGAACAAGAAAGCGGATGCGTTAGCAAACGAGTTCGCAAAAGAACTCTGGCGTTCGGATGCGTTCGGTAGGCATTGGATGTACTTTCACTGGGCTCAAGTTCGGCGAAAAGACCCATCGACCTCAGCTGTGCTCCCCCTTGCGCCGATTTCAACCGGTCCAGCATGAAGACCCTTTGTGCGCTGATGCTGGTGGCTGTGTCCAAGGCACCAAGACCGTGTCGGCTACATGCCGGTCGTAGGTCGTAGGTCGTGACGCGACGGGTAGGTCGAGCGAGCTCGTGTTTGATACGTACCAAAGACACCGAGGAGTTCGAGCGTTTCTCGCAGCGTGACGGCAGAGTTGCATCGATTTGCCACCTTGCGCGGGACTGGTCCAAACGTCGGATGGGTCGGAGTCGATGCCGGTCGCGCGGAGAACGCGCCCGGAGGCTTCCTTGGAGGAGGACGTGGCTTTGCTGAGGGCAGAGGTGAATGCGCAGAACCTTGGCATTGCCGGAGCTCCTGGGTTTAGATGCCCAAGACCACTTTGGACAAAGTTCAGTCTTACAAAATCGCCCGTTGGGAATTGAGCCAAGAGTCTTGAGAGGAGTATACAGTATGGAACCGGTTGACGGGTGTGCTTCTTTAAGCCCTGGCCTAGCGGCCCCCACGGCTGAAAAAAGAAAGTTGGTCGAAATCGAGACGTAGTGGAAACTCCGGTGGTATGTTGATATGTTGGGTCTGCCCTATTTCCTGTAACAGTCAGTCAACAAGGCCTTTAGTAATCAGCATCATCCGCTGGGCCCTTTGATAGAGCATGATAGACCCAACTGATATATTATATACATATATAATATGTATGTTGCGCTTGTTTGGTGTATGTGGGCGGGTTTGACTTCACGATCTTCATGAGTTTGGCACTCAACCAGGAACCCTGTGTCTCACGTGTTGGTGTCAAGCCAGTTAGTTACCCTCCAAGAAACCATGGAACCGGACACCTCCCGGTAAATGGGAACATCGACAGCTGATGAAAGGAACGCCGTTACCGTGTTGGGCCGTGTTGGAGGATCAGGGCCCAGGAGGTCTTTGAAGCTAGGAGGAAGCTACTAGGACCTACTAGGAGGTCTTTAAAGCTACTAGTACCAAGAAACCACTAGGAACATTCTTGTTACTAGCTTCAAAGACTTCCTAGTAGCATCCTTGCTCCTAGTAGTCAAAGACCGTTCCTAGTAGCTTCAAAAGGTTGGTTCCCCAAAAGCCCGTGTTGGAGGAGCTCTTACAGCCGTTCCGGGCTCCTGAGGAAAGAGATCCTGCAGAATCAGCAAGCCATCCTCAAAGATTTGGCACCCATTGGTCGGCAGCTTCAAACGGGCTGGGTGACCCAAGCAGAACTGACGGCCGCAGTGACTGCTTTGCAGAACACTGACTACAGCCTGGGAGGAGCCTTGGATTCAGCCTGGCTTTGCTTGTGTGGTGCATTGGTGATGTTCATGCATGCTGGCTTCGGCATGCTTGAGACGGGCAGCTGCCGTGCAAAGAATGCATCCAACGTGCTCATGAAGAACTTGGTGAACGTTTGCGTGGGCACTTTGGGGTGGTGGCTTTTTGGGTGGGCCTTTGCCTATGGTGCCCAGAATGGTCGCTTGGATATATATATATATATATATTTGATATGGAAGCAGGTTCTTTTGCACATTTCCCCAACCCCAATCCAAGCTTGAACGATGTTTTCGCATGGTGTTTGCATGTGCTTTCACATGGAGGAACTTTATCGCACGGATTCTATGATGATGAATCATGACAGATAGAAAGTGGCCATCTCATTAATTACATCAAGAGTTCATCCATCCATTAGTGGATTGAGGCAACGGTTTCATTGGAACCACGGGCTTTGCCGGCTTCGACTTCTACACCCAAGATCAGACCACGGGTGTCATCACTCCAATGGCAAGCTGCGACGCAGATGGGTGCCAAAGCGTCATGCTAAGCTGGTTCTTTCAATGGGAGTCTCAGCCTGAAATTCGTTGTATATACGAATCATATGTCCAATGTAATTATGTGGGGGGCAAGTTTCAAACTTGTTTTGAGACTGATGGACTGAAAATGGAAACCACATGACACCGCATGACTGACCTGACTGCATGGCATGAGCATGGACATGCCTCAACCGCAGGCGCCTTGAGCATCGCACGCTCACTCGAAAATGACCGCCATACGGGGCGGTGCTTTGTCCGTTTGTTTTCATCTTACCCCGCTTCGTTGAACTCCGCTCTACCCACAGTGGTAGCGGAGCCGGCAAAGACCGGCTCCACCTTGCCATGGACCCGTGGGCCTCCGCAGACCCTTGGAGCGGCTACCGCGGCTGCGGTGGCTGTGGCGGCTGCGGAGC